GTTGTGCACCTCAATCTTGGCAACATTAGTGTGGGTGGTTTTCCACTCCCGGGTTCCCCCAGCCGGCCAGGGCTGGCGGGGGAATCCTGGGAGTTGAAGTCCACACATCTTAACGTTGCCAAGGTTGAGGACATTGATCAAGAGCAATACCAGGGCAGCTATGCTTGTATACTTTGCCTTAATAGTTTACCTGCCCTGAAGCTTTCAGCTGAGGTGATCCTTACGCCCATCTGATGCTAAGAAAATCGCTCCTTCCAGTTCATCTTTTATAGAGTCTCTGATGGGGAAGGCAATGGGGAGGGCTCAGCTGGGGCAGAAGCCAAAGGTCCTCCAGGCTTCTCCTCAGAAACAAGACATACCTCCTTAGTTTACTTTGCTTTTCCCTCCCAGCCCCAGCTGATCCTGCCTCAAATTCTTACTGGACAGAACAGCAGCAGTTTCTTGAACTCTAGGTTGATGAACCTTTAGGAGAAGAAAACCAGAGCAGGTGAGTAACATTGTTAAGAGGTATTTTTTCCCATCCTCTGCACTACAGAAGACCCATTTTGCACCGTGCCATCGGATCATCCCCCTAGGGCTAACTTTCATGCTATTTGGGGACTGCGACAGCCTGCCTTTTGCATTTCAAGTTCCTTGACTCGTTCACAAGTCCTCGGTTTTGGACATGACTGATGCACAACTATGTGACAAGAAGGATGCAAGAATTGGCCTACGGTGACCACGGTAATATTTTTGCTGATATGGCCAGCCTGTTTAACCATTTGGCTTGAGAATTTCTCACCATTTATACCTTTCAATATCTGGGAAACAGACTGTGGAAACAATTTTAGTGGGAAGAGGAATTAAACATCTTTATGACTCTCTGGATGCTTGAATTCCACTAATAGGATAAATCATGACCCACAGAAAGCATATAATCTTCAAAAGCCCTTGGAAAATCAGGGATGGTTGATTTCTACTGTCCAGAAGTCTGTTAAGGTATTTAAAGATTTGAAAAACCCTCAGATTCCCTTGATGTAATCCCCTCTCAAATTATCCACAATGCATTTAAATGGTCTCTTAAGTGCAAATGGGTCCCCGAAGGACGTTGCAAGTCAGTTGTTAAGTCAACCACAAAACCCAATCTTTTGCCACATGGTGCAAATATCACAAAAGTAGATTTCCTTTCTCCAATGGAATACTTCGTTTTCCACCACCAAAATTACAAGAGTTACAGTCAACTGAATAAACAGGAGAAAACGATTTTGGGATTCGGACAAGTATCTAATTTTGGTTTGTCCTATCACAGTTTAAAGCTATTATCAATGTCAATTTATTTTATAAGTGACAATAAAAATATCCTTGTAGACAGATCAAAACAAACAAAAACCAAGCCCACACCAATATGACCCACGTATGAAGTTCGACACCTGTTAATATGCTTCTTTGTTTGTAAAGGAGGAAGGAAAACTCTCACAAAGTGTCAAAGTTACACTTGATGATTAGAGGAATTTTTGACCCCAAAAAATGTTATGTTGTTACAATTACGGCCTTCTTGCTTGTGCAAATTAAAAAGAAGTGTTTGACAGGGGAATCGGACCACTTTGATTCTTCTCCCCCTGGAAGTCGCATGGAGGGAAAACACATTATATCCACCGTGAAAACTGGGCTGAGATGTGTCGGGGACTGGGGAAAAAAGAGAAGCTGGAAACAGTTGTTTGGGTTACTCGGTCTCTATAGGCTAAGGCCTGAGTTAGAACTTTCACGAGAGCCATTCCGCATTCCAGATGGCTCAGAAACGGAATTGGATTCTGTTATCTTGCTATTAGCTATTTCCTCTGGAAAGAATTTCTGCCATTTCACATCACAATGAAAGCATTTAAGAAAACAGCGAGAAGAAATTTGGGGGCGGGGGGCGGGGAGGTGGATTCTCTTGAGAATCTGAGCCGTGCCCTGTTTCTCTTAACATACACCAGGAATCGCAAAAAAGAAAAATTATTCCACAGAACCAATCTATCCTCTGTGCAAAGCATACCCCCCCCCAAAAAAAAAGAAGCTAGCGTCGTTCAAGATGGCTTGATTCTCCTTAATTTTTCCTCTTAAGAGCCAAGTCACCTCATTCACATAAAAAGCTTCCTGTCAAGGAATAATCCTCAGCGGCCTACGCATACGGAGCTGTGCTCTGCTAGTCATTCCTGAACGGGTCTCCTGAAATGTGCTATTTGGAATTCCAGGGCCAGTCTCTTTTTCCTATAGCTTGCGGACTCTACGGGGGGTCAGGGCTGCGTCAAAGACAAACATCCACGTACACCTACCAACCAAAGTCCTCGGCGAACGAATGGCAAGATACTCAACTACAGTTTGATTCTCCTATAAAAAAGACCACAGGTCATTGACCTTATCACAATATGTGTTACAAATCTAGCAGAATATCTCGGGTAACCAAAACCAAATGCTGAACCTGGCTGCCTGTTTTGTGTGTGTGTGTGTGTGTGTGTGTATTTTTCTGGGAAATGAAGAAAGGGAGGGGAGGATTATCGTAACAAAAGGGAGAAAGTAGTTTGGGAACCTCCAAAAAAAAGTCTCCCGCCCTTCCCCAATGCCGTCAAAGGAAGGGAAACAGCCTTCGCACCCCTAGTTGTGAAGCATCCCAACACTTTGGACAAAAAGAAGTTCACAGCAAGCTTCTGTGATTTGGTGGTCCATGAGCTAGTATCTGTTTCCTTTGGTAGCCTGGTCACTCCACCGCAAACCCACACGTCTCTTCCACAGCCGTCAGGAGCTTCTCGTAAAGCTTCTCGTAGGACTCGTAAGGCGGAATGTCGATTCGGTTAAAGCTGTAGGAGGCAAAAATATCACAGGGTACTTTTCTGGTCTAAGTTTTTATCTCAAATACAGCCCCACTTACAAGCTGAATCAAAAAGGGGTCAGAAACGTCAGCTGGGTAACAAGGAAAGGGAAGAGCTACGTTTTAAGACAACTGAAGCAATCCTTAGTGTTCTTTTCCTGGGAAAATGACAGGGCTTTTGCAGAAAACACTTAAGATTTTCTGGGTCACAGAGCATCAAAACACATTACTTTGTAGTCAGCCATTTTGACAGGGGGAAAAATAATGTACAAGCGTACAAAGGTGTCAATGCTAAGGCAGGCCTTTGATATTCTTGCTCTACAGCACATCGCATGAACGTACGTATGCCTTATCTGTGTTCTCAAGCCTCCTTCTCTCCCTTTGAGGAAGACACGCACACAGCCAAGCCATCTCTGCCCATAAGCAGAAAATAAATTGGTGTAAGTGTCAGATTGGAGAAGGTTAATCCAGACATGCTCAACGCATCATTTCTTTTTTGCATGAGAGCTTACAACTTCATCTGACAGAGGGACATAAATACACCCATTTCGCAGCACGGTCTACTACGGATTGGCAGCTGTATGAAGACACTTACCAAGTATGAGCTTTCGGAAGGTTGTCTGTATTTGCATCTATCAAATGAATAGTGAACAGCCTGGGTCCTGCCGCGCCTGTAGAACCTTGCAAATAGACATTCTAGTTAAGGCCCTTCAAAAGTGTAGCTGTGTTCCATGCTACCCTCACCTCTGATAACCTCTGGTATCGACCAAGCAGAGAACAGGAACTCATGACTCCTGGCTTAGGGGCATGTACACATCTGCGCAGTATGCTAGGAGTTAGGAAGAGCTTCGTCTCAAGGCAGCTCTCTTTTGGCCCAAGATTCGGGAGAGCAGCTGCTTCCCACAAGAGGCCAGAGCTGTTCAACCAGAGGCTCGGAAACATCTAGGAGCTCAAAGCTTTGGTTTACTGCCAAACTATAATTTTCAACGGGGGAGAGATGTTAATGCATAGGGAGTTATCGTATCAACTAGGTGTAATTCGGATTTTTGTCCTCACCCCCCCCCACCTCTTTGTTGTGACTCCACCTATTCTTTTAAAAGACAGCCCCAGGACAAAGTCCATGTGTGGCCCTTTCGCCCCAACTGGGTAACACAAACTCCTGGCTTGATTCAGTGTAAGGCAGTTCGATTTATTTTAAGTGGAAAATCACACATTCTTCCACTGGATGACTGAGTGGGACAGCCAGAAAATGGACTGGGGAAGTGATGGCCAATGAACTGGACTGGAAAGGGAGATCCCCATTGCCTCTGGCCCAAGTTTGCTAACTCAGCCACCCGATCAGTCACCTTGCAAAGCCTTGAAACCCTGAAGTGGAACCCGCGTGGAGCCTGTCACAAACTGGAGCAGCCGTGCTCTCCTTTCCTCATCAAAGGCCTCCACCGCTTGCCAGAACCACTTCACGATATTGCTGTCGGCCATGCAATGCTTCAGACGCGTGTTGGACTTCCAGTCGTTCAGATCAATCTTATCTAGGCCACCAATTATGAGCTGGGAATCAGAAAGGTCCTTTTTAAAGTGGCAAGCATCAGGACAACATGGAACTGTACATTCACAATGACCACCCTTGACTGCTATGCTGACAGTTTTTGAACAAAAATGCAACTTTCCATATCCACAGGAGTAGGCTTTCCATGGTGCTTTTTTTTTTAAAAAAAATATTTCTTTAAAAGATGAGATTCTCTATGGACATTGCTATATAGATTTGTTAACTACTGCATGTGTAGGACAAAAGATGTTTAGATGGTCAGCTGAGTCCCCACACAATCTCCATTACTGCTACTAGTTCATTCCAGAAAGGGTTGAAATGGATCCTGAAATGGATCGCTTATGGATCACTCTAACACAGTGTTTCTCAACCTTGGCAACTTTAAGATGTGTGGACTTCAACTCCCAGAATTCCCCCGGCCGCCCCCCCGTGCTGTGGCGATTGGGGGGGGGAGAGCCCCCACACCCAAAATTTTCCAGGGGGG